GTAGGGAAACACTTGGGACTTCTGCCAAGGCAGGAAGATGAGACTTCAGAAGTTTTGCTTGAGCCATCCTTAGGGCTCTCTGTCTCTGAGAAGAGCAGGCTAAGAGGTGGGATAGTAGCTTGCCGTGGGTGGGTTTCCACCAGAAGGTGCAGGCGCGTGGAATTCCAAAGCCACACGCCAGGACCTCTTCCTTCTCCGTGGCCGTGAGTTCGGGAGAGACTACGCGATGATGCGTTAGGGCAGGTTCCCTTTACGTTAGCATCCACTCTCTGTCATCGGGAATCTCCCCAGGACTTGCCATGGGTGCAGGGGATCCCAGTGCCAGGCTGAGCTTCAGAACCCCCAGGGCCCTCTTCGAGAGCCCAGAACGTGGATCTAGGCTGGGCCCCACAAAACCAGAATAACAGGGTGGTTTACCAGGTCCTAGCACCCTGGTTGGAGGCAGGGTGGGCAGACCTGAGTCCTGCATAAGGAGGATGAGCCTCCTGGGGAGCGAATGTGCTTAAAACCTCAGTGTCCATGTTTCCTAAAACGCTCCATGTTCGGGCACAGAGACTGGCGTAGACACCGCCCCGGCCTCGTGCGCTGCAAGAATCTCAGAAATGAGGACCATCAACAGGGCGCTGCACGGCAGTGGGTGCCAAAGAGGACCCGAGGCAAGGGGCGGATGGCTCACAGGATCGGGGTGCCTGGAGGCCCTGCTGCTCCCACCTCTGGGGAGAACGTTCTAGGTGGGGTGGCAGTGACTGAGGGAAGCTCGGCGTAGGCAGAGCAGGGGCTCTAGGAGCACAGGCTGTCTGTCATGCTGGAAGTTCTCCTTGAGGGGGAGCTGATGGTGAGTCCTGAGCAGGCCCTGACACGATGGACATGCAGTCGCCGGGGTCCCCTGGTCCTTGCTCTGAGGAGACTGAAGTGGCGCCAAGGGAAACCTTGTGGGGAAGCGTCACTGTGGTGACAGTACCACACACATTGCTCGTTTCTGGATTTGCGAGTGTGATCCTGGAAGCTGCAAGTTGGTGCCCCCCTTGCCTTGCCTGGATATAGCACAGGCTTTCTCCTCTGGTGAGGATTTTGGTGAAGCCGGTCTTGAGCTGCCCACAACACTGCAAAGACTGTTCAGCTCTGGAAAGTTCTTTTTTTTTTTTTTTTTAACTTTTTAATTGTTATAAAGGTTTTTGCTACAGGGCGCGTGCACTCGCCAGAAAGAGACAGAGAGATAGAAAGCAAGAAATCACCCCCCAGAGGGGATGGTCACACCGCAATCCCTTCCCCTCCACTACCCTCTCAAGATCTTGGGCACGCACACACACGCACCCAGTGTGAGTTTAAGCTACTGGGTCGGGGGCTTGAACCGCGGTCAACTACGTGGAAATTCAGCAACATAGCCATTACATTAACTGCTGGTCCTCAGATCTGGAAAGTTCTTAAGCAGCCCCATAATAAGCAAATAAGCCCTGAGATCCATTTTCACATCACTCTTCAAACACTAACTGGTAAACAATACAGCCACTTCGGAGGAAGGGCTTGAGTGCGTGGGTGTGTGTGAGTGCGTATGAGAAAAGGAATATACTATCGTTTTTTCCTTCTTTTTAATTTGCTGGAGGGTGTGTGCTTTTACTAGAAGTAGATAGGTATGGGGTGAGAGAGTACCCCATCGGGCATGGTCACACCATAATTCCTTCTCCTCCACGTCTCCCTCCTTTGGGGATTTTGGGCACACAGATACATGCACCTAGTGTGGTTTTCAAGCCACCAATTTCCAGGACTTGAGCATGCAATTGGCCATGTGGGATCCAGTCACCTTAACCACACTGCTCCTGGCTGGCCTGTGATACACTATTCTTTTTTTTTTTCCATTTTATTTTTTTATTTAGACAATTAAACCAAAGATATTACCATATACATAATTTTTAATAGAGAACTTCACACTCCTGGGTCTGTTAAGTGTCTCTTCCTTTTTATATTATTCGTCATTTGTGGTGGTCATCTGTTCACCACGGAAGACTAGGTAACTGCCTCTCTGTAGCAGAGATAATTTACCTCTTCCAGTGCCAAATGTGGTCACCAGCTCTTCAGAGCCTGAGAGTAATGACTGGACAAATGGGTGAGAGAGAGGACTGGTCTGCAGAGAACTTCTATGTGCAATGGCCATGCTGCAATCCCTCCTTCATTCTGTTCGCAGGACTTTGGGCACGCATGCACACATGCCTGGCATGAGTTTCAAGCCTCCAGGTCTGGGACTTAACCACGGATTGGCCATGTGGAAGTCCAGGCCTTAACCACTATATCACCTGCTGGCTCTCAGCAAACTACTTTAAAAAAAAATTATTTATTTTATTTATTCATTCATTTCTTTCTTAATTTGACCAGAGAGAGACAGAGGGTGAGAGTGAGAGAGAAAGTGAGAAAGCAAGCCACCAGATTGAGGACTTGAACCCTGGTCAGCCATGTGGGAGTGTCCAGCACCTTAACCACCACACCATCTGCTGGTCCCCACAGCAAACGACTTTTAATACCAGGTTATAGAAAATCTGATTAGAACAATCAAACAAAATAAAAATACCCAATCTCCTCAAACTCATTTAAACCATTATTTTGAATCAGGTAAGAATGGAGCCTGCAGCTACGGAAGTAGTAAAAATGATGCTGATGCAAAATCTAAATGCAGCACCCTCTCTGTCTGTCATAACAAAGGCCCCTCCTTTCTCTAGGAGGAGAACTGGGATTGGCTAAGCAGGGACACAGTTTCAGGTCGGTCTGAGGGGCTGATGGGCTTTTTTTTGTTGGTGGTGGTGGGAGTGAGCACGGGGTGGAACAGAGGGGTGACCTCCTTTATATAATAATGTGGCACCCACTAGCCACGGCGTAATTGTGGGACTTTCAGAGACCCCGACCTAGTGGGGTGCTGGTAAGCTACCTTTGAGTGCTGGGTCTAGGACTCAAACTGAGCATTTGGCCATGTGGGAACCAGCCGCTCTAATCTCCACGCCACCTGCTGGCCGCAAAGTGTCTTTTTGGTGTGCTTCTCCACGTTAATGCTTGAGAATGCCTTTCTGTGGGGTCTTCTGGGTCACCGATATGGACATGGCCAGTGCTTGACTGAGATGAGAATGGATACATGAGGACGGGTAGGACATCTGAACCTTCTTGTGTCCCACTGCTACCAGTGACACTTCTATGGAGCCACATCAGACTTCTTCAAATGCTTATTTCCTGTGTGAACTGCACCGTTTTGTTGAGCTTAGAGGTCGCCTGAGTAAGCAACGAGGTTAACGCTTCCCAGCAGAAACCAGGTCCCGGAGGCCCTGAGGAAGGCCTGTGAGCCGCCCTGAGCTGCGAGGCCACTTTCTTCTTTCTCCCGCACGGGCAGCAGGTCTGACTCGGTCCTATCTGGTCCTTACCCTGGGGCTCCAGATGTGCTGTCTGTGCTGCCGAGGAGAGCAGGAGGCTCGCTGTGTGCCGGGGTGTTGGTCTTCCGGGGCAGCCTTAGAAATGACCACAAACTCACGGGCTTTAAGCAATGGAATTTCATTTCCTCATAGTTTGGGAACCAGAAGCCTGGAACCAAGGTGTCCCCAGGGCTGTGCTCCCTCTAAGGGGTCTTCATCATAGGCGGCACTTTCCACTCCTTCCACACCTGGTTTTGAAGGCCACTGGACGTCTGCTTGGATTCTTCAGTGGTCTTCAAGGAAAAGTCAGTAAAAGGTTAAAAAAGCACGAGATTATTTTGGAGAGGAACTGAGGGGAGGAAGCACAGGGCTGAGCATTCCAGGCCACACTCACCAAGTCACCAAAGGCGTTCATCTTCATTGAGAAGCCTTGTTTCCCTTGGACGTATTCCAGCTTGTGCTGTTCAATCGTTTTCATATTCTTCTCCCACACAGATCTCCTCCATCCTTCTTCACCCTGGAGGCAAACATCCAACCGGTGGTCCCTGCTGCTATGTAGAATACAAGCCATGCTCACCAAGAGACTTCTCAGTGATGGAAGAGACACCATGGCCGAGATGGCTTTGTACTTCCGAGAGCTCAGACACAATGGGGATTTCTGCCCATCTTGTGTTCATCATGGGTGCTACTACATCATCGCCTTGGTAAGAGCTGGCCTCTAGAAGCTTCTCTCTGGCCCTAAACTCCCAACAGCAAGGAATGTTGCTCTAGGGTCTCCCATCTGAGAGTTTCAGATGTTCCCCACTGGATCATGTTTTCCCATGTTTTGCCTTCCACTGGTCCCATTGCTCATCAAAATGGGGGTCGAGTGAAGAGTCGAGGCTATCCTCTTGTGAAGGATGGCCGGGATGTCTCCTCATGTTTAAGGAGCCTAGAATAGAAAAACACATGACTATCTGATTAGAACAATCTTTCTAAAAAGCCATGTTACTCTCCCCTGAGGAACTAAAGACAGCATGGCCAAATCACGGTGTTTCAATTATTCTCCCAAGCACGTGGGTGAGGAAAAGCAGGCCAAGAGGAGGTACATGACTGAGTCACCGCGATGAATAGCACCGTCTCAACAGCTCCCGGAGCTCAAACAGGGTGTGCAACGACAGTTCAGGTTATGAGAAGGGCGTCAAGGTTCCTGATGGATCAGAAACTAAAGGAAACAACCAGGAAACCAGGAAATGTTTGGTCCAGGGTTTGTAGCAATGGTGCCTAAGTCACCCAGGTAAAATCTTCCTAAGGAGGACACCAGATCCCCAGAAGGGGAAAGGGATCTCCAACAGTTGGGAGGCCACCTCCACTCCCTCCTTGGCTAATAAACAGCAGGAAGTGAGGTATTATCTAGGAACCTCTGCTTTTTCTTTTTTCTTTTTTTCGCTATAGGGCGCGTGCTCTCGCCAGACAGACAGAGAGAGACATAGAGACAGAAAGCGAGAAATCACCCCCCAGGGGGGATGGTGACGCCGTAATCCCTTCTCCTCCATTCTCCTCTCGGGATTTTGGGCATGCACGTACACGCGCCCAGCGTGAGTTTTAAGTCACCGGATCCGGGACGCAAACCACGGTCGACTACGTGGGAGTCCAGCGACATAGCCATTATGCTAACTGCTGGTTTCCTAGGAACCTCTGCTTTTTGAATGGAAGAGGAGGGCACCCACCACCCTCACTTGGGCTTGTACCACCAACACCCCAGTTACTTCCCCCAACTTAGAATACAGACGTTGATGAGCTGCTGGAAGCCAGAGGCCCCAGTGCCAGTGTCCAGGAAAGGGTAGGCCCAGGACTCACAGGTCCTCGGAAGGGCTAAGCTGGGAGTACTTGCTCCTGGTTTCCCCACAGGGACAGAGGATGGTCGCAGCTATGTCAGGGTGGGCATGGCAGCTGGTGGGGAGGGGGTGAGCAGCCCTGTCTTGCCCAGCCAGGTAGGACAACCCGCAGCCTCCTAGCTGGGGACTCGATAACCACCTGCCAACCCAAAGCTTGCAGGGACCACTGAACTCTCATCTGAGGCTGGGACTTCCACCTGGAGTCCAAGGATCTCTGAGGTTGACACCTGACCTTTGAGATGCCTAGAAGCAGACTGGCCAGCTCTGCCCCTCCAACCAAGCTATGATTGGCTGCTGGGTGGGGCCTCCAGGTGATCCCACATGTCTGAAGCGGCCGGGTCCTAAAAGGAGGAGGGTTTGGGTGTCCTGTGCACCCTGAGGCTATGCAGAGGCAGGCCCAATGGTTTTACTCAAAGTACTTGCAGTAGGGGTGGGAGGGGATCGTTTATTGGGAAAAAAAATTTATGGTGAACCCCCTGTGGATTTTTATCCTAATTTTGCCTTTTCTGTAGTCTCAGGTTAAAATACACTACGGGGGGACCAGTAGTTGGTGTAATGGCTATGTCACTGGACTCCCATGTAGTTGACCGTGGTTCAAGTCCCAGACCCGGTGGCTTAAACTCATGTGCCCAAGATCCCGAGAGGAGAGTGGAGAAGGGATTGTGGTGTGGCCATCCCCCCTGGGAGGTGATTTCTCATTTCCTGTTCTTCTCTGTCTTTCTGGCGAGCGCATGCATCCTATAGCAAAATACCCCCCCTCCAAAAAAAAAAAATTATTACTGCAGGGCAGAGTTTAGTCTGGTGTTTCCTGTTTAAGCCACAGCAAAGGTGGGGCCGAGCAGGAGGATGCGGAGTCCATGGGCAGACGTGTTATCTCCCAGCTTCAGGGTAGGACGCAGATGGGGTTAGAAGAATTTGGAAGGGAAAAACCATCCCAAGAATGCAGGATGCCGAGGTCAAGGTTCAAACCCTAGGAAGGAATGGGGCTGCCTAGGGGGTGTTACAGAGGTGGTTGTGAGCCGGGAGTCCTAATGTTCCCAATATGCCAGTCAAGGAGATACCTGACACATCAATCACTGTTAACCAGGGACTGCAGCTGGATGTCCTGGGGCCAGGAGAGGGCAGGTTATCTCCTTTTTTTGGTAATAATTTTTATTTAATTTAACTTATTATTATTATTTAATTTGACCAGAGAGAGACAGAGAGGGAAAGTGAGAAAGCAAGCCATCTGGTCCAGGACTCAAACCATGGTCCACCATGTGAAAGCTCAGCACCTTAACCACCATGCCACCTGCTGGCCCAGGTTATTTACTTTTATTATCAAAGCTTTGTTCAAAAAGGCCTCGAGAAGGTTATTATCTTCCCTCTCTCCACTCCATATACGCACACAGGAATTCCCAGGGACACTAAGTCAGAATCCTGCTTCCCACAGGGGACAATAACGGATCTGGACAGACTCGGTCCTTGCAGATGCTCGTCCCTTCAAAGTCCACGATGGGCACGCAGAATGGGTGGTCCAGTTCCCTTACCTAACCAAATACGCTAGTGCAGCTAAAAGCCTAAGCATTCAAACAAAGGAACTAACTATAATGACAGACTTCCCCTCCTAAATATTCATGACGAGACCCTACGATGAAAGCACAGTGACTCCATTCCCAGCACAGCTACCCTCCTCCTTCCTGCAGACACAGGGTAAGAAGCAGAGAGAAAGCAGGCCTGACCAGGGGCAATTCTTCACCCAAGCCCCATGCCCAGTCTAGGGTTTGGGAAGACGGCCCGTTTTGGCACTTGAGACTACCCCCGGCCCCCATTCCGGCAGCCAGATGGTAAGAAGGTCAATCCCCGGCCGCATAGCGACCCCATAGGTCTACATGTATAGGAGCCAAACATCTGAACACTCAGAGGCTCTCTTCCATAGCATCAGCAAAAGAGGAGAGAAGCCTCTCTGAGTAAATCTGAACCGAAAGCTCCCGCCGTGGATGCCTCGCTGCCACGGTAGAAGAGGAAAGCTGGCTCATAGTTAATTCAGAGTGAAGGGAAGCACAGGTGCACGCAGCTACAGAAATCTACTCCAAAGAATTAGCAAGAAGGGAGTACGTCACCAGACGACTGCAAATCCCAGCAGAGCCTCAAGAAGCATGAGGAAACTAGTAAATACTTCCCCTCCAAGGGAACCCAAGAACACATTTCCAACAATAAAAAAAGACAGACGAAATCACTGAAATGTCAGAAAAATAATTCAGAATGTTTATTGTAATGAAACTCAATGAGATGCCAGAGAAAACAGACAACTAACTGCAGGGGATGAGAAAACCGTTCCATGATGTGAAGGAGGAACTCCATAAAGAGATAGACATGATAAAAAACAAAACAGAACTTCTAGAGGTAAAGACTGTGATACAGGAAATCAAAGCCTCCTTCAAAAGTATTAATAGCAGATTAGGCCAAGCAAAAGATACACTCTCTGACCTAGACAAAGCCTCTGACTTAGACAAAACCACCAACAAAAGAAAACAAAACAAAAAAAGACAACATATAGGAAATACTAGTTACCATGAAATGCCCAAATATCCCAATATTTGGTATTCCAGAAGGTGAAGAATCTGATAAGGCCCTGATAATGTAATCTATTCCATGACATATTTGTAGAAACATTCAACTATCTAGACATAGAAAATATAGAAGACGCCAAATAGATGCCACACAAGAAGATCGTCCCACTGGCACACTATAGCCAGACTGGTAAAATCCAAAGACAAGACTCTAAAAATGGCAGGAGGGAAACATCGAGTTACTTAGAAAAATTGTCCTATTACAACAACGTCAGATCTCCAGTCTGAAACAATGCAAGCAAGGGAAGCACAGGTGGACATATTCAAAACACTGAAAAACATTTCAACTAAGAATACTATACCTGGGACCAGCAGTTGGTGTAATGGCTATGTCGCTAGACTCCCATGTAATCTACCATGGTTTGAATCTCAGATCCGGTGGCTTACACTCACGCCAGGCGCGTGTGCATGCGTGCCCAAGATCCCAAGAGGAGAATGGAGGAGAAGGGACTGCGGCATGGCCATCCCCTCTGAAGGGTGATTTCTCACTTTCTATCTCTCTTTCTGGTGAATGCACGCACCCTATAGCAAAAACTTTTCCAAAAAAAAAAAATAATAATAAATAAATATATACTATACTTGGCAAATGGCAAGAAAAAAAGATTCTCAGCTAAACAAAACCTGAAAGAATTTACCAACACTGGACCAGTTCGTCAAAAAGTACTGAAAGGAGTACTGAATCTGGAAAACCAAAAAGAAACAAACAGAAATAAAAGAACTTGAATTAACCAAGAAAATGGCTTATGAAATGACAGGGATAAGTCCAGAAACATCAATAACATTGAATGTTAATGGATTAAATTCTCCAGTTAAAATACACAGACCGGCTGAATGGATAGAAAAAAACAGGAACCCTCTACATGCTGACTGCAAGAAATGCACCTCACAGATAAAGATACACATAGACTGAAAGGGGAGGGCTGGAAAAAGATGTTCTGCGCAAAGAGAAATAAAAAAAAGGCTGTAGTCACGACACGGGTATCATATAAAAGAAACTTTTAGACAAAAACTGCAAGAAGAGACAAAGAAGAACACTATATAATACTAAAAAAGTGAATATACCTTTTTAGTAGCTATAACACTTACAAGATTTATGCACCCAACACTGGAGCACCCAAATATGTAAAAGCAAGACTGCTTGATCTAAAGGGAGAGATAGACTACACACTAATCCCTGGGGATCTCAACACCAAACACTCGTGCCTTTGCTTATCT